GGTTCATTCCACGTTTAGTGTCTCATGGAATCAGTTAATGCCAAGCCTTCCTACGGCTGGGGAGGTTTGTGTGGACTTCACGCTGATTTTGTGGCTCCCACATTAACAGCCTGTGGTTTTGTGTTTTCTTTTGCTGCGACTCCTCCTGCACACCCTCATTTCCAGAGACTGTCTGCATCAATCCAGTCGTAGACAATGGAAGGCAAGTTGGTGGCCACGGTTTTCTCTCTGCACCCGGGCAAACGGTGACATTTCGGTGCCACGATGGTTACAGCCTGCAGGGCAGTGCCAGCATGTCCTGCCAGGAGGATGGCAGCTGGCAGCCCCCCGCTCCTGTGTGTGGCAGAGCACTGCCTCACCACAGCTCCTTCACCACGTCTCCAGGTACCTGACATAACCCTCAGGGTACACTGCTATCTTATGTCCCCTAATCCTGTTTAAAAAATGTTGTTAAATCCTTTGAGGGGAAGATTTGAGCCTATCCTGGGAAAAGAACCTAATCCTCTGCGACCCTTTGGGAAAATGTGTTTGTGTATTAATGGCTATATTAATAAAAATGAACATTTTTGCAAGGCAAACTAACCCCTTTCCTCCTAACAGTGCTCTTTGTGTGCTTGCCCCTGATGTGCCTGTCCTGCCTGCTTCTCACATCTCTTTTCTCTCTCACTAGGTGCTTGTGGTGCTCCCACAAGGCTGCAGTTTGCTGAGCTAAATGAGGAGCATAGAAATGCCATTGAGTTTTCTGTTGGGAAGACTGTGCAATACACTTGCCTCCCTGGATATGCTAAAGTCCCAGGAATGTCACCTACTATGACATGCCTTGAGAGTGGAGTGTGGTCAGAAGCACTAGAGTTCTGTAAAAGTGAATAGCTCCTTGATTTGGTGTCTGTTGTTGCAGGAGGAACAGGTCTCAGGTTCTGTCCATGCTGCCAAAACATTGATGTTATTCTGAATATGTGACTAGTAAAGCCATGTAACTCCTTGAAACTGGAAACGCGTGTTGGGGGGAACTGGGGATGCGGGCAGGGGACTGGAGGAATAATTGCATATTTTGTACTGTGATGTAGAGAGACAGGAGCCCAGAATAAGGGTGCTCTCCTTCCCCAGGGAAACAGTGTGGGCACCCTGGTGAGCCTGTGAACGGCAAGATCATCTCCCTGACAAACCTCCAGTTTGGGTCTACAGTGGTTTACAGATGTGAAGAAGGGTAAGTCCTGGTTTGGAGGTGGATTAGGTAAGTGTCATCCTTTTAAAGTGCTCATTCACTCCCAGTAAATGGATTCTGTACAGGAGCCCCTGTACAGGGTTCTGTACTATTGTGCCTATACACTATAGTGTGTATATATATATTCCCTATATATATATATACATGCTATAAATGCTGGGAAATGGGTCAGGCAGAGCAAGGAAGGAATTTCCCCTTCAGGGCCACAGCTCTGCTGCCAGCAGGGCTGCTGCCACATCCCAGGAGGTCGGGAGGAACAGTCACTCCAGCTGAAATGGCTTGGGGTGGATGACCAGTGCTTTTCCCACCAGGCACAGGTTAATTGGACAGGCCAGCAGGCGCTGTGAGATCTCGGGGGGAGGTGTTGCATGGACTGGCCACGTTCCCCTCTGTCAGCGTAAGTAGCTCATGGCTCTGGGGGTTTGCATGGATCTGGGAAATGTTTTCCAGCAGAGGCTGCCACATCTTTCCAAAGTTTCACAGGCAATTTCCCCCCTCTGTGGGCAGGAAATGGGTCCTGACTGACACCAGGAGCCCATGGCAGGAGAGGAAGGGAAAACATGCTCAGCTTAGGGGTTGTTTTGTCAGACCCAGAGAGACCAAGGGTCAGTCTGAGGAGAGCCAGGGCCAGCAGTGAATCCCAAAATCCCAGACCGTGGCTTTGCTTCCTCTCTCCACCACTGGTGAGTGCCCAAGAGCTGCTGTGCTGCTCCTCAGCAATCCCACCTGGGCGTTTCTCTGCTGACCAAGCACAGTGGCTGATCAGGGCCGTTTCATATGAAGAAATAAATATTTACTGGTACATTCTGGGGTTTTAAAGCGCTTCCCAGATTCTCCAGGAAGGTGTGAACCACTGGTGGCACACAGACTGTGCCTGTTGCACAACCTGGCACCAGGGTTTTATACAAGTGATGCAAAATAAGTATTTGATTTCTTATTTCTTAAAAAGTAGAAAATGCAAATGATGCAGGTGTTTCCTCCACAGAGTTTTGATTACTACTCTGTTTTCTAGCTGCTGGGGGGTGGGATCCTGCTCCCAACAATCTCTCACCTGGGAGGTCACTTCATCCCATCTTTAGAACAAGTGTTTGTGCCCCGCAGACTGAGGCATTGCAGGTGCTTTGGTGCCAAGTTGAGGTTCTGCACTGTAGGAATGTGCCCCTGTTGATGGAGTAAACAAGTTACCCTTTGTCTTGTTAAAAAGGAGAAAAACCCAGAAGTTTCTCTCCACAATTTGGTTAAAAGATGCCTCATAGAGACTTAGAGACTTCACCTCAAATTTAAGGACAGTCAATTGGACAGAAGCCAAAAAGTCCTGCTTAGGCAATTCCCTAGAAAAGAAGAGAACAAAAGAAGTAAATCACTTTTATGAAGTGCTTTTAGCAGGAGCAAAAACCTCTTGCCCTGGGTCGGTTTTTCTCTGTAAAGAGCTTTTTTATTAAAACTTTTTTGTTTCCAACACTGCCGCAGGAGCCATCCTGCTACTTTTATGCCACCTGAGGTGGCTGAGCTGTCACACAATGCTTGTCTATGAGAGCTGGCAAGACCTGGCTCGAATAGACAGAACATCCGTGCTCCTCTGCAGGCATCCCCTGCGAGCCGCCTCCGGACATCCCCCGCGGGCAGCACTCGGGCCGGCTGCTGAGCGAGTTCCACTACGGCACGGCCGTGACCTACAGCTGCCAGCCCGGCTTCCCCCTGCACGGGCACCCCTCTGTCCACTGCACCACCCACGACGGGCACAGCGGCGTCTGGAGCGAGCCCCTGCCCGCCTGTGGAGGTGGGCTGGGCTGCCCGAGCGACAGGGACCCCCCGAAATCCTCCCAGCACCGCTGCTCCGCGTTGGGGGACACTGGGAAGGTCCAGCCAGCTGGAATTCTTGGCCCAGCAAGAAGGGTTGGGGCCAGGCAGAGCAGGGGAGGCTGGAGGGTCACCCCGCTGCCCCAGGATCCCCTTCGCCCTTGGAGATGTTTGATATTGCAGGATGCAGGCACAACATCATCTCTAGGGAGAATGGTTTCCAGGCTTTTGTCTTAAAATTGCAACCCTTGGTGGCTTCACAGCCGCCCAGCCCTGCCTGAGGGCCTGCTCTGAGCACCTGCACCTCTTTCTGTTCCAGAGGCGAGCTGCCCTGTCCCACAGATCCAGCACGGGAGGATCGTGGCTGCCAGGTCTGCCTACGCACACAGGGACACCGTGACCTTTGAATGTGAGCCAGGCTATGCCATCCGTGGCCACAGAGAGATCCAGTGCCAGCCAAACAACACCTGGGAGCCGCCTGTGCCCGTCTGCGAGCAGGGCAAGTGTCCCAGCAGGGCTTCACCTTCCCCTGCTCCCCAAATCCTCCTTTCCTGGCTCTTTAACACAGGGTTGTCCCTGTCCTGGCAGCTGGCTGCAGAGCCCCGGCCAGGCTGGGCTTTGCCGAGCTGAAGGAGCCCTACAGGAACCGGACGGTGTTTCCCGAGGGGAGCAGGGTGGAATTCGTGTGCCAGCCTGGCTACAGCCAGCTCCCGGGGGTGTCAGCAGCCATCACCTGCCTCAGGAACCAGACGTGGTCTGCAGCGCTGGATTTCTGTAAAAGTACGTCCTACGAGTGCTGAGAGCCTCAAGTGCGAGGCTTGGCTGCTTTTCCGTGCCCCTCCAGCCTTGTGGGCATCTCTCCTGCTCTCTGTGGTGGCAGCCCTGGCTGGGGTGTCAGCACAGCTGAGGGCTGAGGGAGGCTGGCATTCCCTTCCAGGGATGCAGTGCCCCAGCCCGGGGAACCCAGCGAACGGCAGAGCTGTTGTCCTGACAGATCTCCTCTTCGGATCCAAAATTAATTACACGTGTGACAAAGGGTGAGTCTTGCCCCGGTGAGAGTGAAGTGGATTTTCAGCTTTACACAACCCAGTTCCCAAGTCTGAACTCTTGGCTGCCACTCGCAAGGCTTGTAAAGAAATCGCAAGTTGAAAAATCTCACTGTTATAATAATTAATCCTTCTGTGTGGTCCAGGTACAAGCTGGTGGGAGGCTCCCAGAGAATTTGTGAGGTCTCTGGCACACATGTGGCATGGAGTGGGGATCCTCCAGTCTGCCAGCGTAAGTAGGCCACCACAACAGGCCCTTGGAGATGGTTTACGAGATAAAGTGGAACTTCTTTCAAGCCAAAGGTTTTATTGCAAAAGATTTCTCAAGTCACTGAATGTGTACAATATTTTCCTTTTTCTTTTCCTTTTGTTTTGGATATGCTTCTGAAAATGGTTTCAAAGATATTTTATTTATTCTGGTCCAAACCAGGAAGAAACATTAATATTTTAAACTGCCTGTTAGTGGGTAAGTACTTCTCACTGGCCAGTCTCTCTGTGCACCAGTGGTTATGGAAAGGGAGGTAAGAATTATCCCAGCACCTCCAGGCATAGTCAGCAAGGAAGTAACTCACAGGAGGGGACAGATATTCTTTCCCATGTGTGATTTTGTTCCATACAAAGTTCATTCCTAGAGAATTGTGTCATTGCGTCGCTGCTGAGGTGGTTTCCCCTCCAGCAGTGCCCTTCCTGGGCAGTGTGGGCAGTGCTGACCGTCCCCTCGTCCTGCCCACAGGTCTGACCTGCGCCGCCCCTCCGGCCGTCCCCAACGGGACACACAGCGGGGGCTCCAGGGACACCTTCTCCCTCGGGGACGTGGTCACCTACACCTGTGCCCCGGGGCTGGTCCTGGCTGGAGGAGCCTCCCTGTCCTGCACCTCGGTGGACGGGGAGCATGGCACCTGGAGCGGGGCAGTGCCACGGTGCCAAGGTAGGGCTCGGCTGTGCCCACAGCCAGCTCTGGCTGTCCTGGCACAAGGGACGGCCACGGCTGTGGCAGGGCCTGCACCCATGGGGAGACAGCTCACACGACTGATTTTATTAATTCACAGCAGTTAATGTCAGTGTTCAAAACAACTCGGAGAATTTACACTTTTTTCAACATTTTTCTATGCATCAAATACTTATTTGGTAGTGCTTTACTATAACAGCTTTTTCTTTTTGATGCTGCTTTAGTTTTGATCACAACTTAATTTGATGTCTTACTTCTGTAAAAGCTCTAAAAACCAGGATGTTGGTCTCTGAGGGAGAAAAGAGCTAAGCTCCTGGAAAAGTTACATATGACCTTGATATGACCTACATAGGACTGATTGCACTTGTGCAATCTCCCTCCCCTGCTTTCAGAAGGTTGGGGCTTTTGGTGGTTATCTTGCCCTGCCCTATTTCTCAGCTGCCTTTCCTCGTTCCCGGCAGAGGTGACGTGCCCTGCCCCGCCGAGCATTGCCAACGGGCAGCACGGTGCCAGCCCCGGTGCCAGGCACAGCCCGGGCTCGCTGGTGCTCTACACCTGCGCCGAGGGCTACTCCCTGCTGGGGAACGCCTCCATCCGCTGCACTGCCAAGGGCACCTGGAGCCGGCCCCAGCCCCGCTGCCGAGGTGTGTTCGTGTGTTCTCGTGCCTTCCTCTGCCTGTCCCTCGCCTCCTTCCTCCTCCTTGGCTCCTGGTTTAGTCACTGCAACCAAACCCCCAGGGAGAGGCAGAGAGCAGAGGTGCCAGGGGCAGGAGGAGCCCCATGTGCCCCTGTGGGTTTCCCTTTCTGTTCCCGCTGCGTACAAAGGTTCAGGAACAGCAGAATAATGGTATTTGTGTAAGAACAAGAGTCAGTAAGGTTGAAATGCCCATGGCAGTGATGGCAAGGCCCAGCAGCAGGTGCTGTCCCTGCCCAGTGCCCCTCCACAGCCAGGAGGGGTTTCACTTCCCCAGCTCTTCACATCCTCGTGCTCCTCCCTTCCAGCAATTGGCTGCACCAGGCCAGAGATGGAGAATGGAAAAGTGACAGGCTCAGAGACCACCTACAGCCTGGAGGACACCGTCATCTTCGAGTGCAACTTTGGTTATGCCTTGAAGGGCTCGCAAGAGTCTCAGTGCCAGTTTGGGGGCAAGTGGCACCCTCCTGTCCCCACCTGTGAGAAGCGTAAGTGCGAATGAGGGGCAGCGTGGCAGCTGCTTTCTGATCCTCTGTGTGCAGGCAGAGGGGCTGCTCTCAAGGGCTGGAAAGGAAAAACATGCACGTGTACATCCTGCCATCCTCCTAATCCCCATCCAAACCCCTGAACAGGCTGCCTGGGGAGGCGTGGGCATCATCTGGCACCATCCCTGGAGGGATTTCAAAGACACGTGGATGTGGCACTTGGGGACATGGGCTAGTGGTGGGCTTTTCAAACCTAAATGTTTCTGTGATTCAGACCCTTGGTAAATGCAGGGCTCTTCAAATGAGTCCACAGAATCCAGGCTGGTGCCAGGTATCATTCACAACCACAGAGACTCCAAAGGAAGTTATTAGGGCCATGGATAGAAACTAACCACTGTAGTTGCCTAAACAGTGAGAAACTATCATTTTTATGTCAATAAGCTCAGAAAACATGAAGGCTGGAAGGTAAGAGAGGTTGGGATGGAAATATCATTCAGTAACAGCCGTCATTGCTGTTGGGCAGAAGTTAATGTGAAAGAACAAAGTTAAAAGGCTGCCTCACCCTATGGGGGGGTTTGTGGTACCAGCTCTTGGCTAGCTGGGATGTTTTCCCCTCCTTGCAGTGCCTTCGTGTCCTTCCCCTCCAACTATCAGAAATGGCCAGCACGACAGCAAGGGTGTGACAGAGTTCATCCCTGGCATGGCAGTGAAGTACCACTGTGACCCGGGCTACGTCCTCACCGGGAAAACCACGGTTTCCTGTTTGCCATCGGGAGTCTGGAGCATCCCTTACCCCTGGTGTGAAGGTGAGCTGCAGATGCTGTTACCCTCAGTGCAAAGGGAGGGCACTGTACCCACACAGCCTCCCAAAACCAGAGGAGGACCCCTCAGCTCTGGCAGCCAAGCCCCAGCCTGAGCTCTGCTGCTTTTCCCTTCCAGCCATCACCTGCAGCAGCCCCAGCATCAAGGACGGAGAGGTGGCTGAGGGCCGGAGGGCTGTGTACCACCCTGGGGACAACGTCACCTTCCAGTGCCACCCAGGCTTCGTGCTGAGGGGCAGCCGTGGGGCCGAGTGCCAGCCCGACAGCCACTGGGTGCCTGCTGTGCCCACCTGCCAGCCAGGTGAGCCAGCTGTGACGGGCTTTGCCGTGGTACCAGCGCTCCTCCTCTGGGTGAAACCCCTAAAGCTCTGCTCTCTGCTCGTGCCCTGGCAGTGCGGCTCTGCCCTCCGCCCCCCGTCATCGCCCACGCCACGCTCAGCGCCGAGCCGGGGATGAACTTCACCAGTGGCACCTCCGTGAGCTACAGCTGCCAGCCCGGCTTCTCCCTGCTCGGGGACCCCTCCGTGCTGTGCACGGCCTGGGGCAACTGGAGCCATCCCTACCCACGCTGTGCAGGTGGGGCTGCCTCAGCAACCATCCCGTGCTGGGCTCGGCATCCATCCTGTGCCGGGCTCGGCATCCATCCTGTGCCAGGCTTGGCATCCAATCTGTACCATGCTCAGCATCCATCCTGTGCCGGGCTCGGCATCCATCCTGTGCCAGTCTTGGCATCCAATCTGTACCATGCTCAGCATCCATCCCGTGCCGGGCTCGGCATCTGTCCTGTGCCAGGCTCAGCATCCAATCTGTACCATGCTCAGCATCCATCCCGTGCCAGCTTCGGCATCCATCCCATGCCAGGCTCAGCATCTATCCCGTGCCAGGCTCACCCTGGCTCAGGCAAACCTGCCAACCTGCAGGATTGCATGGTACAGGGAGAACCACAGCAGGAGCTGTGCTCACTTTGGTGGCACTGGGAATAAGCTGGTGGCATTGCTCAAGTTTCCCAAAAGGAGATGGGCTTGGGTGTTTTAAATATTGAAATTAAAGATTTCTGTACTTTACAGCCTAGAGTCATGTGAAGGCACCACACTGACCAAACTACATTTTGGGCATTGTTTTATCCTGTTTTTGTAAGGCCACATAAATTCGGTGCCTGTGTCCTTACAGGCTGAGTGTTATTTGATGCAGACAAATGTCAGACTACATAGAAGATGCATTAATAACTTGGGGTTTAACAGTGCCTATCAATGCACCTGTTTCTCTCTAGCTGCATTTCGCAGCCAAGGATGTATTTCTCATGCCCGTTTTGTTTCTTGGCAGCCGGTTGTGGCACACCAACACCGTTGCTATTTGCTGAGCTAAGCCAGGAATATGAAAATCAGACTGAGTTTCCTGTTGGGATGACTGTGAACTACACTTGTCGACCTGGATATGTGGAACAGCCACAGATATCACCAACTATCACATGTCTTGAAAATCTAACGTGGTCTGAAGCCCAGGAGTTTTGCAAAAGTAAGTTTTGTAGCTGCTTCTAATTGGTTTAAATTGTTGTGCACTGAAGCCTTGTAATTTCCCCTTCACCACTCCCTCCTTTGGAGGGTTTGGGCAGACTCCTGAAGATAGTGATTCTTAAAATCAGCTCCCTCCCATGGGCAGGGACACCTTCCAGTATCCCAGCTTGCTCCAAGTGCTGTCCAGCCTGGCTTTGGACATTTCCAGGGATGGGGCAGCCACAGCTGCTCTGGGCACCCTGTGCCAGGGCCTGCCCAGCCTGAGAGGCAGGAGTTCCTTCCCAATATCCCATCCATCCCTGTCCTCTGGCAGTGGGAAGCCATTCCTGCCACTCCATGCCTTGTCCCAAGTCCCTCTCCAGCTCTCTTGAGCCCCTTTAGGCACTGGAAGAGGCTCTAAGGTCTCCCTGGAGCCTTTTCTTCAGGCTGAACAGCCCCAACGTCCCCAGCCTGTCCCAGCATCATGGCCCTGCCCTTTTCTCAGTTTTGCTTTGTCCTCTCTCCTTAGTGCTGCAATGCCCTTCACCTCCAAATATTGACAAAGGAAAGCACGACAGCCAGGACCTGGAGGTTTTTCCCACTGGGATGGTTGTGAACTACAGCTGTGACCCTGGCTACAGCCTCCAGGGAGAGGCATCCATCTACTGCACCAACTCTGGCAACTGGAGCCTCCCTCTCCCTCAGTGTGCAGGTACACTGTGGTTCTAAGCTTGGAGTTATGGATAGCTTGGGAGTTTCTGCCTGTAGGACTCATCCTCACCCTTCCCAAAATTCCAAATCCTTTACCCTCCCCTTTTTTTACCCATTTTGCACAGCGATTTTAAGCTGTACATAATCAAAATATATTTGAAAACTATTTTTGTAGTTGACATCTCTGTTTCTCCCCTGACAGGTGGCTGTGGTGCTCCTCCAAAACTCACATTTGCAGAGCTAACCAGGGAATACAAAAATCAGCTGGAATTTGCTGTTGGGGACACTGTGCACTACAGCTGCCGGCCGGGACACTCGAGACGCCACGGAGTGCCCCAAACTCTGACTTGCCTCCAAAACCACACGTGGTCTGAAGCCCTAGAGTTCTGTAAAAGTGAATAGCTCCATCCATTTGGTGTTGGTTATTGGAAATTGTCTGTTTTGTGGGTTTTTGAAGGAAAGATTCGTACATGGCTTTACTAGTCACATGGTCTGGGCCGCTTTGGGCCATTTTGAAATCACATCTTTATTGGTGGCAGATCTTGGACAGAGCTTTAAGGTACCTTCTCATAGTGTGTTACACAACCTCAAGAGAGGAGTTTAAACTCAGCCTTGTTCTTTCCCAGGGAAGCAATGTAGACACCCAGAATCTCCCAGGAATGGCAGAGTTGTTGTTCTGACAGATCTCCTTTTTGGGTCAACCGTGAACCACACGTGTGATGAAGGGTGAGTCCCACACTGCCTTTCCTGACTCCGTGTCCAAATTTGGTGTTGGGTAAAGGATCAGAGCTCACTCCTCTGCACAGCTGTTCTCCCACAGAAGACCTGAATTGGAATTTTGGTTCCAATTATGCCGTAGTTGCCTGGTCCAGAAAGGGAGAATTGTCTCATTTTTCCCTCCTGTGCTCAGCAATTAATTTGCAAACCAGTTTCAGTTTTCCTTCTCAGATGGCCTCGAGCAGGAGCTGAGAGTGGGAGCAAGACCGTGCTGCAAGGAGGCTCCAGCCCTTTGGAAATCATTTGGGTCCTGATTTATCACCTGGCCAATCTAAGCCAGAGTTATGGGGTCAGTGCTGCTCCTCTTGGATCTGGGAAGAAGGAACTTGGTGTCCTTCATTCCCACATGTCGAACCAGCAGAGAGACCTTGGTGATCAGCTGGAATCAGGAGGCTGCAGAAGGAAACCTCTGGGGAGGGAAAAACACGAGCTGAAGGGCTTGGTATGAACTGGTATTTCTGCTCTGTACCTCCAGGTACAGACTGGTTGGACAGTCCCACAGGAGATGTGAGATTTTGGGACGAGGTGTTGCCTGGACTGGTCTGCCTCCCATCTGTCAAAGTAGGTCACCACTACATTGGGGCCAGAATTGACATATTAAGTCCTTAAAATTAAAAAGCATTTTCTTTAAATTAATAGAATTAAATGAATAAGACTATTAAAGCATGATATTCCTCTGGGATAGTTTGGGGTATTTTTTTTATGCTTGTATGTTTGGTTTCTTCTAAAAATCCTCCAGATGTAGGCTTTTGATCTGTCATAGCAATGCAGACTGAAGGTTGTGAGATGCCTGCAGGGACTTGTCCCTTTTGTTTCACAACAATAAGTAAGAAACCAAGTTAAAAATGTGTTTTGTAATAGAAGAGTGATATTTTGAGTACCACTGAAATGGAATTTTCCAAACACTGTACTGTTATCTGAAGCACAAGGGTGTTTTGCAGGGGTTGATCATTGTAATTAGTCTTTTCTTTAGATGGACTTGCTTTGGAAGGCACGAGGCTGGGATTGTAAAACATTCATGAGATTGAATTTCTACCCCATTTCATGCATTTCTTAGAATATATTCACACTATTCTGTTTATAGGCATAGAACTATGTTTATATATAAAATACTTTGGTACCCTTAAGGTACCTAGAAGAACTTAAACCCCTCAGTTCTTGGAATTATTCTTATCTGAATCTCTAAGTCCTGCCTGTGAAACTCCTCTGAGCACGCTTTATGATGTGTTCATTACAGCACCCACACGGCTTTGCATGCCTCAATAGGAGTTTCTCTTTCAGGGGTGCTGTGCCCAGCCCCACAGATCCAGAACGGGAGGGTGGCTGTCCCCAAGCCCCGCTACACCTACAGGGACTCTGTCACCTTTAAGTGCCACAGAGGCTTCACCCTGCGAGGCCACCCCACGTCCCGGTGCCGAGGTGACAGGAGGTGGCACCCACCCGTACCTGTCTGTGAGCAGGGTAAGAATCAGCTCTTGGCCGTGTCGGGATTGCACACTCCTCCTGGTGTCTCCTGCCCACTCAGCGAAGCCAAAGTTGCTTTTATTTTTCCTGGTTATTCCAACCACTTTAAGGAGAACCCAGAAATTTTTCCTTTCATTTATGCCTCTCTTCACACACAGGAGATGAGCCAGGGCTTGGGTAATGCTGTAAGTACTGGCATGATTTGCACTTTCTCACACTGCTTGTTGTAATCTGTGATCTGCATTCTCTTAATTCCCTGGAAATGAGGAATTTGGTAGCTGCAGGACACTGACTATCAGAGAGCTGTGAATTTTTTCCTGGAAATGTAACACCAGGATGATGGGAAATGAAGGTAAATGTGTACATTTTATTTGCTCAACCATGTTTTTAAACTCTTAATGCTGCATTTAGATGGAGTGTCAGAACATTATCACCACCCTGATACCACAAGAAAGCCAGGTAGGTCTCTTACCAGAAGAGGCAAAATTTGATTTACTAATCACTAACTCCTCCTCCCAGCCTGTCCTGCTTTTTTGAGGGAACTTTGCAGAGGCTTGGGCAGGGCTGTTGGGGTCAGTGCTGTGGGAGGGAGCGTTCAGCCTTCCCCAGCTGCTCAGAAGTTTTCCCTCTTGTCTCTCTGAGCTCTGTTTTGATCTGCACGTCTGTTTTCAGTGCTGCACTGCTCCAAGCCTGCAGATATCACCCACGGGTCTTTCCGTGGCCCAGCAAAAGCAGTTTTTACTGTGGGAACATCTGTAAACTACATCTGTGAGCCTGGCTTCTCCCTCCTGGGGACAGCATCCATTTATTGCACAGCCTCTGGAGCCTGGAGCCATCCCCCTCCAGTCTGTCAAGGTGTGTTTTGGCTGCAGAGAGAGAATAAAGGACATCTAACAAGTCTTGCCTTGGGGGATGGTCTGTAGAAAGTCTAAATCTGAGTACAGAATGTGTGGTAAGAGCAAGCTCGAGTTTTTGGCCTTTCCACAGCCTGCTGGAGTTATGGGGGTCCAGGCTGTCGAGGGCAGAAATTGGAAGGGAGCAGCTGAGGCTGCAGATGGACAATGCCTCAGTCACTCCCTGGCCACCCTCCAGCACCCCGTTGATTGTCCCTCCCTGACTTTCCAGCTGGGAAGTGTCTGCAGCCTCCAAACATCACCAATGGGAGGCTGAAAGGCGACAGCTCTGCCGCCTTTCCCTCCGGAGCCGTTGTATCCTACAGCTGCGATCCTGGTTACTCCCTGCTTGGGAACGCTTCCATCACCTGCACGGCCTCGGGATCCTGGAGCCAGCCCCTGCCGCGGTGCCAAGGTGTGTCTGTGCTCCTTTGCTCTTTGGAATTCCATGCGGGACTGAGGCACCTTCCCAGTTCTGCAGAAGGAGAATTAATTCATGGCAACACTCAGAAGGAATTCAAGAGCAATGTCCTAAATAACCCACAGCTGTGTTTCTCATATTTTGTGTCCCCTCTTTTTACTGCTTCCAATTCAGAGATCAGATGTGAATTCCCGGATGTCCAAGGTGTTAAAAAAGCCATTAAAGGAAATACTTATCGCTCTGGCACTAACATCACTCTTGAATGTGACGATGGTTACATGCTGGCAGGCATCAGTCACACCCAGTGCCAAGAGGATTTCAGCTGGGACCCTCCGGTGCCAGCCTGCAAACTGAGTGAGTGGAATATAAACAAAGCAAAGATCAAACAGAAGCATACAAAGGCATTCTAAACATGCAAATTTCTGTCGGAATTTTTTTTTAAAAGGAAGTATACAAGGGTGTGGTTTAACGAAATCTGGTGTTGTGGGTCTTAGCAGTGAGACATTGGCATGGGGAAGCTGTGGCTGCCCCTGGGTCCCTGGCAGTGCCCAAGGACAGGTTGGATGGGATTTGGAGCAGCCTGGGACACTGGGAGGTGTCCCTGCCATGGCAGAGGGGTGGAACTGGATGAGCTTTAAGATCCACTCAACCCAAACCATCCTGTGATTCTAAAGGGTTTATTGGTACTGATTAAAGACAGTGGAGAGAGGCTGTAGTTTGCTGATTTTCCTTTTTTCCCCTTCCCTCCAGCATCCCCCAAGTCCGGGTCAGTAGGCCTAGGTAAGCAGCTTGCAAACATTTTTGTCCCCAGCTCAGTAGCCTCAGTGGCACAGCCTCCCTCTGCTTACACGGCAGATACACCCTGTCGTAAATTCAGTGTGCTTTACACACATAGTGAGAATAACCCATATCCTTCTCCCTCAGGAGTGGTAGCTGCAGCAGTTCTGCTGCTCCTGGGGGCAGGTGTTGTCTGGAAAATAATTTCCAAGCAGAAGGAAGGGTAAGGCAGCTCTGGCTGTTTGTTCCTGTCGCTTGGTGCCAAGTCCCAAGCTTTGTATGCTTGATACATCTGAAATATTTGCCTCAGTGTGTCTGGGCCTTGTAACTCTGTACCTTCAGCTCAGGCTTGCAAATGATACAACCTGCAACTCATGGTGTGGTTATGTCATTTTATTTCAAACCGTTCTTTCTGAAAAGAAACCAAACAGAGTGTTATTTTACAAGGCAATTCATTGTTTTCTTCTTTTTCACATAGCTATTATCATACGTATGAAAACTATAATTACAGAACCCCCCTGAACCCAGACTCTGAACACAGAGGCTCGTGTCTGCCATAGGAGGTATGGATTTATATTCCTCAGCACAAAATACCAATTAGAGCTGCAATAACTATACTGTCATTTGTTTATATTGCTGACTGTATTGTCTCCTTGACTGAGTATTTTCCTAACACAATCATTCAAGCAGAAACCTCTTTCCCTTTTGTCTTCTGATAGGATATTTTCTTTTGCTGAAAAGAAGATATTTTAAACATATTGGGGTTTTAAACCATCCTATTTTTATTTCTGACTTCACCCTCAAAGTATTTCTTTAATTTTCCACAATCTGGATGGTTGGTGTGCACAGGTCAGACTTCCAGACCAGTCCTTTCTTCTGACTTAAAGCTGCTTTTAATCTGTACAGATTATGAGAAAGCTGAAAAACTACCTCATCCGTAGTAGAGTCAGAAAAGGACTGAACTTGGTTCCTGGGTTTTTTTATTGCTTTCAAACTTGCTACAAAGGTATTTTTACTTACAAGTGAATCTATTTCCTGTGGTGGATCTATTGTAGCCAGCAGTGAATTTTCACTGTTAGCAGCACCTCCCCTCCAAAGTGGGACATGTAAAAATATCAGTTTTGGGTGATTTCTTTGAAGCAAAGCATTTCCCAGAAATTCTCTCCTCCCATTCCGGGTGGCGATGGAATCTCTACACATCAGTACAAAAGCAGGAAACTCTGATTTCAACACCAGGATATCATCTCTTTCCTAGGCTGGGATCCCTGCTGCTGCTAACCAGGCACCGGGCTCGTTCCCTGCAGTGAGGAAGTGCTGCTCACGTGGAGACTGGAATTCTGTGGCAAAAAAAAAGGGACATTTTACTGTAAATCTTCAATGCTCTTCTGCTCTCAGTAGTTACTGAAAGGATCTAAGGAGGCTCAGACTGCACGCAGTGTGGGTGTTGCCTCGGAGGGAATTCTGTGTGCTGCTCCTGATGAAGAATATTTTCTTTATCCCCAAAAAACTGGATGACCAAGTGGATAACCCCAAGCCTTGGTAGGGAGAAAAAATGAATAATGCACTGGCCATAACCCCCATTCCCTGTCTCCCTATGCTCACCAAAACATACCTGCACAAGGGTGGGAGTAACCATATGTTAATTAATATCTTAATTACAGCTGTATTTACATCTTTATTTCCTTCCAGCAACGCTTACATGCAGTGTTCCTCTACCAATGCTTAACCTAATAAAAGCTGTTTATAGCAATCCTGTGTCTTCACTTAGTCCTACCCAGAACTTTAAGTGTTTTCTGTTTTGTTGGATTTAAATTTTTTGGCTGTTCTATTTTAATGCTGCTCCGCCAAACACAGGATTTAACTTCCAAGGCGAGCGTCCCTGCACAGGGGTGCCCATCCTGAGCTGGCTGTTATTTTTAATTAATCCCTGTTGATGTTCCAAGTGTGGCACCTAAATACCCTTAGATTTTTTTCGTCTTTGATGTTCCAAGTGTGACACCTAAATACACTTAAGATTTTTTTCATCTTTCCTTGAGCTGCCCATGAAAGGATTCGATCTCCTTGCAGCCAGGGACGTAATGCGCTGAGGGTGTTGTAAAATGTGGAATATATCCACATATGCCAAGATTTCTTTAAGTCAGGGTGTCCTTTGGTGGAAGATCTTTGTATACTTTCAATCCTAACCCATAAAAAAGGAGCAGGCAGGAGCACCCCTTAGTCAAGGGCATCCCGAATGATCTCGCTTTAAGGAGGAAAGAAATCAAGGTGCTGATGTATGTATTTGGCAAAATACTCGAGGCCCATGTATTCTTCAGCTGAACAAAGATTATTATCCTGCTAAAAACCCCACTTTGGGGTCAAACAGCGCCTTCCCTCAGCATGCGTTGAACTGAGCCGTGACTGCGTCATCCGTGTGGGAATTAACTCATCACAACAGAGCGGCTGCGCCCGGAAACCGGCCCAGCGCTGCGGCGCTGTGTGCCACACCGGCACGGGCAGCTCCGCCCGGGGATTCCCGGTGCAGAACACCCCGAGGGGCCCCCAGGCCG